AGAAGGAGCGACCAAAAGCAAAAGTCGACCCTGCGAAATCGATTGTCCAGAGTCGGATCCCGCGCCGTTGCGATCTCGCTTGGCCTCATGCCGCTAGGCCGGCACGGTTCCACGGCGCGGTCCGGTAGAATTCTAGTAACCGGTGTGGCTGTCATGCTGTTTAATCATATAAGCATGCACTGTGTGTATTGCATTCGAAATCAAGCCTGCGCGCGCCGCGACCCGGCGCTCATATATACGTGTGGTGAGCCTGTGCGCGTGCTTGCGTGATGTGACTGCGCCGCCGAAGTGCCGTTGCGTGCCGGCGCCGCCTGCTGGCCTGGCAGGCGTGCTTGCTGTGGATGCTGCCTGCGCAGCGTGCGTCCGCAGTCTGCGGCGCGCTGCCTGTGGTGTGCCGGTGTGCTGCTGCAGGCGTGGGCTTGCTGGTTGATTGGTGCTGCGACTGCAGTGCGTGCGTGTGTGACCTGCAGCGCAGTGCGTGCCTTGCATGCCGTGCCGTGTTGTGAATCCCGTGTGCGGCGTGTGACTTGCGGCTCTGCTACGTAAACCCGTAGGACCAACGACCGTTTCAGCGAGATATGAACGGCTTAATCATGGAAATCCTAATGAATTATCCCAATTCAAACAGTCGGCGTTTGCGCCAGAATGCCAGTTTTCTCACCTCTTTCTTGTGGGTTTTAAGCAAACGCACAGTGAAATGGGAGCAACTAGAGTTTATTTTTTCATAAGGTAGTGTGATTATGCATGACACGAAGTATTTGCTAGTCTAGTACTAGAGAAATTAGCGTTTGGATGCGCATTGTGAGCCTTTAAGGCGATTAACTAGGCACAGTACTTAGTAGACTTTTAGCTCTTGAAAATGCTAAATGATAAAAATCCTGTACTAAGTCGAGTGAGCTGAAAAACAAGTCAAATGGAGCTACATTGCAAGCAGACATCAGACAGCGTTGAAACAAAAACGTTTTCATTCAGTTCGCCAGCCCATGTACTTAGAGAATGCTATATGCCTATAATCAAGAGCATAAAGCAAGCCATTAACATTTGTGTTGCAATTCCACATTACCATCTATAACTTAAATTAATGGCAGGGTTCTCCCTAGGATGAAATTGAAACAGAAGGGAGGGGGGAAAAGGGGAGGGAAAACTAGGGGGGTCCGGGGGCCTGGTCAAATGGGAATTCTAGCCGAGGTTGCCCCTCGGATTGCCAGTAGCAGCAGCGCCTCCAAAGCTGACTCACTCAGCCT